CAGCGGTCAGCATCAGGCTCTGTTTCTGCGTGACCCGAAGCCTCTGTTCCTCGGGGATGAATGACCGGGAGGCTGACCACTGCGCCATGCGGTGAGCTCGCGTGCAGCTTCTCTGGGAAACTGTTGTGCTCCCTCCAGAGGGCTGTGCCCGTGCACCCCGCCTTCCCGCCAGCCCGCCACAGCCTCGCAGCATCCGGCGTCAGCGCTGCAGTCACTCAGCCACTCCCGTGGCCTTACAGGTACTTCTGTGCATCCACAGCTCACCACTCTCCCTTCCACAGGCAGAGTCTGCAAGCCTCACTGCCTCCATGTCCTGGCGCCTCACAAAAGCACAATTTCTGCCAGAGAACCTTCTTTTTTACATTTCTTTCTTTTCTTTTTCCAAATATTTATTGTTGAAAGTATTACATATGTTCCCCTTTTTCCCCATTGACCCCTTCTAGCCCCCTCACACCTGCCCCCCACCCCAGGCCTTTGCCACCCACCCTCCCCGCCTTCCCTCTGAGGCTCCACAGTCTGTTCCTTGCTCCCATGTCTCTGGATCTTTTTCGTTCACCAGTTTAATTCAGACAACCACTTTTTGACATCTGTATTTCCCCCCCATTTTCTTGTGACATTTGAGACTCTGACAGTCTTGCCGGTGCCAGTGTAGCCCACATCGCTGCAGGCAGGAATCCACTCTAAGAGTGCTGCTCAGGCTGGTCTGCAGACACACCCCAGGAACTGGGAGTTCTATGAAATGGTTCAAAGTGTTGTCATATTAGATTACAATCTCCAAAATAGCCTTTAGCAGTTAAAAAGATGAAACCACTTTTTTAGTTATTAAATTTTCATAAGATTGTGGTCTTATCAAAATGTGGTCTTGAGACATCAAGAAATACTTCCTGAAAGAGGTGGGGATTCTTAAGGTGAGATTCTTCAGTGTGACCAGGGTGAGGACCCCCCCACCTGTTCACCCAGGGCACTGCCTACACACCAACAAGTCCTGGAATCGTTACTAATAGAACCCCCTTTTCATCCTCAAAGGTATCCCATTTCGTATCATAAGCTTTAATGGCCACCTTATCTATGATCATGATAAAAAGAAAGAAAATGAAAACAAGAGGAAAACCCAGCAAGTATATGCACCTCCCTCCCCTTTTCCCCCCCGGCAAGCCCCCTCAGTTCCACCCTCGCTCCATCGCCAAGGGGCTTACTTAGCATTTGTCAGTGGGAACATTAAGTGGCTCCTGTGCGCGGTCCATGCTCTTTTCCCAGCAGTAGCTCCTCATTACACATTCTGTGCTTGTCCTGTTCTAAGGCTGATAAGGCTATGAAAGAACAGCAATATTCTGCCAATTGCAGCCTTAATAAAATATAACCACCAGACTGGCAAATAAACGCATAACTTCCTAGGCCGTCCAATAAAACTCTTATATGCAAACAACTTACCAGCTTCTCAGCCCAAAAACCACTAAACCGTGACCCACTTTGAGTCGCAGAAACAGCAAGGTTGCTCTTATTCATTCCCTCAGACAGACTTGAACTCAAATTCAGCCAAGTATGTGACAAGATGGTAGAATTAGAGGAAAATTATAAATTATAACTGATAATATACCTATCACCATAGAAAGAAAGAATCATTATGAATGATTAAGAACATGTAAACAGCGTCTGGGGCCTGCTAGTATGCTTTCCCCTGCCAGTTGGATTTTTATAACTGGCATATAGTAATTCTAGAGTCAGGAAAATATAACCTAGGCGGTTAAAGGGAATTATGACTTTGGGAAAAAAAGGTGAAGGTCACTAGGGAAACACCAGCTCTCAGGATTGTGGTTCGGTGACATTTCCGCGCGTTGGAGGTGGTTCAGGCAGTACAGAGACTATTCACAGCATCCCTCTGCAGCTTTTAAAGTTTCCCAATTTAGCAGGTTAATTAGCTGTCGGATCCAAACAGGCTATCACGTTCCTGAAAAGAACAGACCCGGTTTCTTACAGATTTCAAATCCCTGTATTCTTTGGCCATTGGACAGGACGTGCTGGTCAGTGAAAGCTGGTTCTCACTACTCTCAAATTTTGAAATGTATACGGCGCTCTGTCACTAAAAATACAGCCAATTAAACAATCTGGCTCTTGAGGCTCATTTACTCTGCTTTAATATTCACAGCCTAAGCTATCAGAGGCCAAATGTCCTTGGTCTTGCAGACTCAGAGCTGTCTCATGAAGCTCCCGAGGATGAACTGAGTTTATTATGTGGGTGATAAACGAATGACCTTTAGCATGGACAGCAGAATGGCCTCCTTCGTGGAAGGAAAGCCTCTGAGTGTGGCTACACATTTGAAACATCATAAAACTGGACATTTGTTGAAAGGAATTTATGAACACCCACTGGGTGAACGCTTTTATAAAGCAACCATTTCTATGTCATATTTTATTTCCTTTTTTGTGGGTCTAATTTACTATCACAAAGAGAATACACGCAGAGTAACTTCCCTAGAACATAGTAAGCACAGCAAGGTCTCCATGTCCTGGCGTGACGGTTAACTCTGCATGTCAACTTGCCTGGATGGGCCCAGACATTTGGTCAGACGTCGGTGGAGATGTAAAGTTTGGGGGTGTTTTTGATGAGCTAACACTGGATCAGTCTCCCCGGTATGGGGGCGGAAGGGGAGCTCCAGCCAGGAGGTGAAGGCCTGAGCAAGGAGGCTGACCCTCCCCGGTAGGAGAAGGCAGGAGAAGGAAGAAGAGGCAGGACAGTCTCAGGCAGGACAGTCTCAGGCAGGACACCGCTTTCCCCGCCTTCGACCTGGAGCTCCTCCCGGGCCTCAAGCCCAGCAGCCCGCTGTCAGGCCTCGGCCTCAGACTGGAGGTCAGCCTGTGACCCAGGTCATAGGACTTGTCAGCCTCTCTAAGTGTGTGAGACAATCCCTTATGTAAATCTGTCATCTATCTGTCATCTATCTACCCATCTATCAATCATCTATCTACCCATCATCTATCTATCTATCTATCTATCTATCTATCATTTATCTAGGCATCTATATATATTATCTATCTACCTATCATCTATCTACCCATCATCTATATATCTATCTATTTATCTAGGCATCTATATATATTATCTATCTACCTATTATCTATCTACCCATCTATCTATTGATTATCTATCTATCTATCTATCCATCCATCTACCGATCTACTGACATGCACTATATACCTATGTAAATTTATATCTTATTGGTTCTTTTCTCTGGAGAGCCTTGACTAATAAATATACTAGCTAATAAACCTTTAATGATATTACTGACATTAATAATAGCACAGCTTTTATGAATACAATGAATTTTGTTCAAACAAAATCTTATACAAATACTGAAGTCCCTGTCATTTTAAGTTAATCTAATTTCAAAGATGATCATTTTGGCATATACAACTACATTATAACCTTATTTTCCTTGTATAATTATGAATAAGAAAATTAGAATTATATAGAGGTGATTCATGGGGCTTTAGGTATGCTGCGTGTCATAATTGGAGGCTCAGAGAAGGATGAGCTGACACTGAACTGGCCCTGAACACTCGTTGCATGAGTTAACAAGAACATCTTTACAAAGAAAAAAGATCAAGCCATTGTGAGCAATATGTCAAAGATTAATATTTTATATTGCATGCTTGTAGGTCTGAGAAGAATAATACAAACACACAGGGAGCATTGCTTACAAAGCAGGAAAAAGCGTGTAGCTCTTCCCGACCTGCCTCTCAAACACAGAGCATGCAGATCTCCATGTCCCAAAAACACATTTCCAAAGCGACCAGACCACGATGGCTCTGCTGAGCAGTGCAGCTGGGGGCTCTGCTTTTACTAAATTTGTTCAAGGAACTGTTGTCTGTTTAACACGTGAAGCGCCCTGTCAGTCACGAAGACAAAGCAGGCTGGGTGCTTCCCATGTGAAGCTTCTAGTCCCACTGTTCTTAACGTCAGTAAAACCTGGGTATGCGAGGGTCAGATATTTACAAACTCCACAGAGTTATTTTTAGTTAAAACATATAAATATTACACACACACACACACACACACACAATATACATATATATGTTTTCCCCAGTAAAATGCGCACCCTGTCATTGCCTTAGCTCATTAATTTATTGCAGAATCCACGCTAAAATGAGTCTTTGTTATTTAAGGTGATCTCTTAGACCCTGAAGTAACTGCCTACTGATGATGATGATGCTAACAAATGCTCACATTCATACAGTGCAATGACTTTCACCCAGTGCGCCACAAGAAGTTTTAAAACAAGCAATACTGACCATTTAGTCAGGGGCACTGGCCTCTTTTACCTTAGATTGTCAAATAAAAATATGACAACAGCCGACATGATCGCAGTCCAATGTGAATGAATTAAATTATATCTGTTTTTTGTCAGATTGGCATTTTTTTGAAATGCCACAGGATTTTAGTTGTTAGTTTATGTGTGTCACAAAGTGGAAAAAGTTGAACATTGCTGCTCTGGTATTCACTATACACTGAGTGGCCACGTGCTGTGCGTGGGCCCTGGGCACCCTCCCTGGGTCAGTCCCACAGGCAGGCACAGGGCACCGCTGCCCTCCAGGGGTCACACTGGGTTATCAATTCCTCCCCTGCAGCCCTGAGCTGTGGATCCGAGCAATTTATTCGCATCCTTCCTTCCTCGTTAGGATTCTCCTGGAGTAAGTGAGGGAGGAATTGGACAGACATGGAAACTGCCGTGCCCTGCTGCTCCCGCTCAGCCAACATTTATTCACGGTCTGTTCCCCGCTCTGCAGGCTCCCCCCCCCCCCCCCCCCGACACACACACACACAGCCCTTCCTTTTGCTGCTTCGCTGCATAATTAAGGTCAGAGTTAATGAAGAGGCAGAGTCAAGTTCAGGCAATCCCCAGGCGCCATTTATTCTATCAGATCCGGGCCCTGAATGTCAGCAGGGGCGGGTGTGTGTGTGTGTGTGTGTATGTGTGTCACCCAGCCTGCAGGCCACTCACCTGCACCACCAGGTCATTCCTGAGCTCCTTCCCAGCGAAAATCACACGCAGCTGGTCGGCCGGAACCCCCTGTCGCTTAGCAACCTCCTCCTTGAGCTGGAGGATGCTGGTGGCAGAATCCACCTCCACTGGGAATCCGTGGCTGGAGTTGAACCGCACGAACACTGTCCGAGAAAGTGGAGAGAGAAAGAACGTGAGACCTCAGCCCCCGCACGGCGACACAGCCATTCGGGACCAGGGGCCCGCTCTCTTCGCGCACAGCCTGGGCTGCGGGGTGACAGTGGGAGAAGCACGTTGTGTGAGTGACCACAGACAAGCTGTGTGCTCCCGACTTGGTCCTGGGGCAGGCTGAGGCGGAGCGCCCGCGTGGCTGCAGCTGCCGGAGCCCGGGAGGTGGTCAGCGACGGCCTGCAGCCCCTCTCCTCTTAAAAACACACAGCCGTGTCTGACCGTGCGAAAAGCATCAAGCAGAGCCCACCGAGGGACGACAGTCTAAAACACCCTGACCAGTCCCCCCAGCGTACGACTGAGTCTCAAAGCTGCGCCCGCAGAGTGGCCGGAGGAGACCCATGCCATGACTAGATGCAGCGTGGTCTTCCGGGTGGGATCCCAGAAGAGAAAAACAAAGGACATAAAAGTCGTTTGGATTTTAGTTAATAAAAATTGTCAACATTGGTGCTCCTTATAAAAGTGGAGTATAATAACTTGTCAAAATAAGGAAAGTATTAATAGGTATGGAGTATAGAACTCCCTGTACTATCTTTGCAGTTTTTCTCTAAAGTTTATTTTTTTAAAAATCTGGACTGATTCAGATGTGCTGTCCAAAAACCAGATTTTTCAGTTCAAATCCAACTAAAATACTTGTCTCATAAAACAAAAGAAACAACTGTCATCAGAAAAAAAAAAGAAAAAAAAAAAGACAGAATCCAGACTTTCCAAAACTTACATTCATAATGTTCAGGATACAATTACAAAATCACCCAATATTTGAAAGAACCACAAAAATAAAGCATATTTTCAAGAGAAAAAAAATCAACCGAGACAAACCCTGAGGTACCTTGAGTCTGGGAGTAGACAAACAAAATTTTCAAGTTGCTAGTATTAATATCCTCAGTGAAGTAACACAACATATTCTTATAACAAATGGAAGGACAGGACAGACAAGCAGAAAAATGGAAATTATAGAGAAGTACCAAATGGAAACTGCAGAAATAGAACTACATTAAAAAGGATGAAAATTTGTTGGATAATAACAAAATGGAGATAAGAGAGAAAATATTAATGTGGAGTAGAGAGGAAGAAGATGAAAAACATGAACAGACCTCAGAGACCTAGTAGGTAATATCAAATTGTCTGACATACATGTAATTTTAGTAACAAAATAAAAAAAGAAGAGAAAATGAGGCAGAAAAAAATATTTGAAGAAATAATGCCTAGAATTTAGAAATGTCTAATAAAATAAATTTACATATTCAAGATGCTCAATAAACACCAAGCAAGATAAACATGAATAAGACCATGTCAAGGCACATCATAGTCAAATTATCAAAAACCAAAGATAAGGAGCAAGTTGTAAAAGCAACAGAAAAAGAGGACCCCCTGCATACAGGCTTAAAACAATGTGATTGATGGTTAATGCCTCATCAGAAACAAAGGAACCAGAGTAAAAGTAGAACGCCTTTAAATTTTTCAAATTAAAAAAAAAAAAAAAAAAAAAAAAAAAAAAAAGCAAAAACATTGCCAACACAGAATTCTATATCCAGTAAAAATATCTCTCAGGAATGAAGACAAGATATAGAGATTGTAATATAAAAGAAATCTAAGAGAGTTTGTCACAAGCAGTCTCTTCTACAAGAAATGGGAAAGGAAACTCCACACTGGAGGAAAACGTTATCAGATGGAAATGCAGAGCTTCAGAAAGGAATAAGAACAACAGAAGTGCTAAATAGCTCAGTAAATACAAAAGACAATTATGTGGGAGAGTTTTTTATCTTTTGCTTTGTTCATCACAATTTTTTAAAGACATACAACTGTTTGTATGGATTAAATTGTGGTCCCCTAATTCTTATGTAGAAGCCCTCACTAATGTATTTGAAGGTGCAATCTTAAGGAGATAATTAGTGTTACAGATGTGCCCTTTCCCCCTCATTGACCCCCTCCACTCCACTCCCACCTCCTAACCCACTGGATTTTACATTGCTCTCTCTCCTCTCTCTCTCTCTCTCTCTCTCTCTCTCTCTCTCTCTCTCTCTCTCTCTCTCTCTTCTCCCTCTCTCTCTATCTTTCCCTCTCTGGCCCTCGCCTCCCACTCCTTGTTTCCTTTGACTAATTATTTTATTTTCTGCTTTAGTTCTTTAGCAGAAGTCACATCATGAGAGGTGGAGAATGGGAGGTAAGTTTATTCTCGGTAAAATAGGAGGTAAGAGAACCTGCCTCATAAATGTATTGTGAGAATCAAATGAATTACCAGAGGAGAAGTATTTAGAAAAGCACCTGGAACAGGATACGCTCCAACAGTTTTTAGCTCTCCCGCAGGCCAGTGTGTGGCGCAGACACCAGTCCCTCTATCCAGTGCCCACCATTAACGTCTGGTGGGCTGGGGTGGCGGTGTTTGGAGAGAAACGGGATGAGGACTTCATTTTGGGGTGATGAAATCTTCTAAAATTTATGGTGGTGATGGTTGCAGAATAGACCGGAAGCCATTGGCTGTCACACTTTAACTGGTGAGTTTTAGAGTATGTGAGTTCTAGCTCAGTAGAGCTGCCTCCTCCAACCCCCTTCCCAGTTTCTGTCCACCCATCACTTCCTAAAGCACTTGGCAAGAAGACAGCCACCAGGTCATTTTGGATTAAGCGCATGGATGAGTGTGAGTTCGTTTTATTTTAAATGGCTTTCTTCCGTTTTCACCCATTATGGAAGCCTGCAATTCCGAGAAGAAATGTACAAACATTGTGTATGTCATCTGTTGCATTTATAATAGATGTCTGTTTTTATCATGTAGTAAGCTTTCGTTTTGAAATATCACACAGTTGGCATACCTAGAACTGCTGGGTGGACCGGAATAGTGCTAATGGTATAAGAAGGAGGCATGTATTTCAGCTCTCAATATGGAAGATCTAATTTGCTTAAATTACTCACGCTGTTCTCATTTCCATATGCTCTGGGGTACAAAAAAGATGTAGACCAAATCGCTGGTGACATTGAAATTCATGTATTCACACCGTCAGCAAATATTTACTAAAAGGTGACCATGGCTGGGCAGTGCCAGAGATGTTCAACAGAATCCTGTGCCACAACCCGCCGTGTTTTATTCATTGGTTCCCTGGGCGGCAGGCCAGATGCCCCGGGAACAGGGCGGACGGAGCAGCTAAGCTGGAGGAGTAACAGCGCTTCCGAGACAAGGACGCATTTCTGGCAGAGTGTCTAGGGGGGAGTGGTTTTTAAACAGCTCCCAGTGGGAGTGACGGTTCCCCAGTCATGTCTTCAGCAGAAGCAGCTGCTCTCGTTGGTCACGGGCTGTCAGTACAGAGGGACGGGCGTGTGTGCAGCAGTGAGCGGCAAAGCCAGGGGCGAGGCATTTCATAGCCTCGGACCCACACGTGCCCTCTGTGCCTGGCTTCCCCCCTCTCGGCACCAGGGCTTCCAGGTTCATCCATGTGGGAGCACATGTCAGAACCCCGTTACTTTTTATGGTCACATGACATTCCAGGGTATGATGTAACGCATGTGTCTGTCTATGGATGATGGCGTTTGAGCTGCTTCTACTTGTCGGCTGTTCTAGGTAACGCTGTGGTGAACGCTCGTGTACAGGTTTCCACGATGCATGTGCCCGTTTTTCTTGGGAATATTCCAGCAGGATCATATGGCCACATGATGTTGGACTTTTTGAGAAACTGTGAAAACTTGTCTGGTCATCAATATCTTGCAAAAGTGATAGTTCACACAACCCTGCTAAGGAAGGCTTTGGTCAAACCAGAAACATCAAGTTAATGCATTTGTGTCCCATGATGCAGACTCGCATTTTAAATCGGCGACTAAGTCGGTCCTGCGGTGTTTGGCCTGAGGTGGCCGCTTACTGATGACAGCTCCCGGTGCTTTGGGGATGCTAGCCGCCTTCCTCTCCGATTCGCCATGAAACCTCAGGAGAGCGGGCCTGTGGTCACAAATCTCAGTTATTTCTCACTAAATGCCCTTGATTATTTTCTACTAGAGGCCCGATGCACGGAATTCATGCAGGGGCCTTGGCCCTCGCAACCACAGCTTCATCCGGAAGGCCGTGAGGAAGGATGTCCGGTCTAATTAGCATATTATGTTTTTATTAGTGTAGATGTTTTATTTTTTTAATAATATATATATATATATATATATATATATATATATATATATATATATATATATTTTTTTTTTTTTTTTTTCCACAGAGAGGAAGAGAGAGGAATAGAGAGTTAGAAACATCGATGAGAAAGAATCATCGATCAGCTGCCTCTTGCACACCCTCTACTGGGGATGTGCCCGCAACCAAGGTACATGCCCTTGACCAGAATCGAACCTGGGACCTTTCAGTCCACAGGCCGACGCTCTATCCACTGAGCCAAACTGATCCCAGCTATTAGTGTAGATGTTTTAAACCAGTTCCAATATTAAACCTCATACTTCCTTTTGTTTTAATGGACATAACTGACATATAACACTGAGTTAGTGTGAGGTGTACAGGTGTATAGAACATGTGTTGCACATGTATATATTGTAAGATTTGCTAACATCCATCACTCCAGTAGTTTAGGATGCACACTCTCAGCGGCTTTCCAATACACACTCCAGCGTCCTCCCTGCAGGCGCCACCCTGCGCGGCACAGCCCGGGACCCATTCCTCCTAGAACTGGAAGTTTGTGCTCTGACCACCCTCATTTCCTCTGTTAGCCATAACTCTTGGCTCCTATTTGAAAAATCTGGCTTAAAGAATGATCACACTCTGCAAAGTTAAATGAAAAACGACAAGTCACTAAAAACAACACTGTGGGCCCAAATCTGGAAGCACGGAGCTTTGGAGTCACGCGGGGTGGAATGAAGCTTCGCCGGCAATGAAATGGCCTGGTTTGCTGAGAACAGCAAAAAACTCTCATTCACTACAGGAAATAAAAATTCTGTTACTTAAGTTTTTGTT